TCACCTCCTAGGGCACCCTGAGAGAACTCAACCACCTTGGTTCCCGACCAACTCAAGAATAGATCTGCTGCATTGCCAAAGCATGACGGATGCTCTGCGACGTACACAATTCCTCTACCCTTCGCCACCGAAGCTAGGGACCACAAAATCATCCCCTGAGCCACTAGCCTCTTCACTTCATCAGTGCTCCCAGACGGAGGGGTTGAAAACAAGGCTGCGATCCTGCCTTGGGACGCTGCCCATAGGAGGACCTTCCACACTCCATTCTGAGCCTTCAAGTCCCACCCCTTTCCGCCCTGCTGGCGGAGATCCACGCGGAGAGTTGGCATTCCCCTTTCACTTGCCCAGACGCTGAGTGGGTCACCCTTGCACGGAGGCCCGCTACACAAGTGCACAACCCACTGCTTAGACTCTAGCAGGGAACGTCGGGTAGCCCGTCTCAGAGGCAACCGCTTCAAAAGTGCCTTGGCAGTCTCGGAGCTTCCGACGGGAAATGACTCCGCGAGTTCAATCCTGACGTCATCGGGAAGTGAGGATAGGTAGGGCTGTGCTAAGTAAGCCTTCAGAGCATCTACACGAGTTCCACTGCCCGCGAACGAGCGCAAGGAGGCTGTGGGATCTGGGCACTGATCAAAGGCACTCAGCTGACACTCCAGATTCTGCACCCTTTGCTTAAAGCGGTCTACTCGTTGATCCTCAAGTTCGGCGATCAAACGCAGGGCTTGGGACTCTTCCACATATGGGCACGTGTTATTGGAGATCTGAGTTTTAAGCACTCCAAGCGTAGGGTGTACTACTCTGAGGCCCCTTTTCTTAGACCAGGTCACCTGGCAGCCCAACGTTTCAACCAAAGCCCCCAGTGGGAGGATTGTTTGAGAGGACTTAGGGGCATCAGCCTCCCGGCTTGGGGGAATGACAAGAGTGCCCCCTTCTGTTCTCAGCCACTCCTGCCTCTCATCACCGGCTAAGGTAACTGGGACAGGTTCCAGGTTCTGCAGCCTGTCATGGAACGAGATAACTGCATGTGTTGCCCCACTATCCAACAAGGCCACACCATCAGAGCCGCTCCGATCATCCTTGGTCTGAACCCTCGTTTCAAAAATCTCAACGGCCTTCCTCAGAGCATCCAACTGGGCTCTTAGCATACCAACCGAAACTCCATCCCCAAATCCGGGCACCTCCGAAGACTCACCTAGAACCTCCGGTCCCTTTATTACCCTAATCTCTGGATCCCGCGACAGCCCACGAAGAGTGTCGAGCTGGGCGCTGAGAGACGCCAGGGTTACAGGCGTACCCTGAACAGGTGTCGTGGACGCCTGGGCCTGAGTCGCCGAAGGCTGAGCTGGGACTGGGGTGGCCGGGACTGTCGGGACTGGCTCTACTCCAGGGGATTGCGTCGTCGGCATTGACTGCTGGAGTATCCATGCGGCATCGGCTAGAAGACTCTTGATTTGCTGCTGGTTGGCATCACTCGCCGGCGGAACTGGAGGCGGGGGATTAGGGGCATTAGAGCTAGGCTTAGGCGCATTGGGTCCCTTGCCTCCCTTTCCCTTTCCCTTGGCTTCTTCCGGCTTGGCACCAGCCTTGCAATCAACGGCCTTGTGGGTTTTGGACCCACACACCTTGCACCTCGCCGCCTTCTCGGACGTCGAGAAGCCGTTCCAATCATGCTCATAGGCACAATCCGCTCCCTTCTTACACCCATTGTGTCCCACGTAAAATGAGCATGGGGCCTTGGCAGCGGAGGTTGAGTCCTGAGAGCCTGCCTTGGCATTACTCGGGGCCTTCGGAGGGCTCTTAGGAGGCTTCTTGGGCGGCGGTGGATTAGGGGCTGGAGCCTCTACACCCTTTACCTTCGCTGGGGCTGGTGGCGGAGGGTCTCGGGTTCCCTTATCCTTATCGCCCCTGTGCGCAATTGCCTCCAACTCTCCAAGCAGTTGAGCATGGAACTTTCGAACCTTCTCATCGTCCGGGGTCAGATCAATTTGGAGCGACGCCCTCGCAAGATTCACACGAAACGCTACTTCAGGGTTCTGCTGGATAACCGTTTTGGTTATTCTGCTCAGCGCTCTAACCTGAAGGGAGCTGTCCGGAAGCTTGCCGCCGAGCTCCGATATCCGCGAGCACCACCTCTGCCAGCGGCGCAACCCATCAATTGTCTCTAGGATTGAAGAGCATGGCGCTGGGTCTGTGATATTCTTGAGACCTAGTTCACGCTCGGTGATACTACCCGGGCCGTAGATAATGAAGAGTCGACAGACTAATGGAAGTAGTCCGGACACTCGGGCAGCACTCAACTCGTCCTTTATCGCCTGAGGCGATGCGGCGATGATCATCGTTTCAATCCGACGGGCCACACGAGTCCACTTTGCTTGTGCAAGCTCATCTGAAGCCTTAGGTTTTGCCGTAAGCCGGCCTAAGGGATCTAACTTCAAGTAGCCAGCATACCACTCCTTGGCCTCAGCTATGGTCGTAGTCCACAGAGTCTCCGAGGTATCAGAGATGTCAGCTAGGGCGGGTTTCGAGGCATGCAACCAATCCGCGAAGCTCAAACAAGACTCTGGGCCGTGGGGAGGTAACTCTGGGAGACTAACCACTCCGGGCTTGATGACTTCAGGCTTCTGGGTATTCTTAGGGCTAGCCATTTCTTGAACCACGCTCTGCAACTGGGCCATGCCATTCAACACAACTGTCATGGGGTCCAACACCTGTGCTCCTGGTCCTCCCAATGAGGAGACAGCTCCCGGTGCCTTGGGAGTCGCAGAGACGTCAGGTCCTGCGGCTGCGACAAAGGTGCTGTCCGGAACATTTCCTGCTCCAGCAGTTGGGGAGGGCTCAGGATTAGGGCTTCTAAGGGAACCTAGAGTGGGCTCGGGCGGTGGCTGCGGAGGAGCTTCGTACCTCGCCTGGGCATTAGGCATTGCTTGTTCCAGGTACTCTAACTCCCCTTGGCTGGGGCCTAAACCGAAACTAGGGTGACTACTGGTGGTAGGGAAGGTTGTTGGTGGATAGGCCGTTGCATTATGCGGTTCGTGGCTCAAGCTGGCTCTCGGAGGAGCCGGAGGCGGAGGAACTGTTGAGGCGATAGGGAGGGGAGGCGGAGTCGGTTGAGAAGCCTGAGGCAGGCCCGATTCCAGGGCTCGCTCAGGTCTGGAGTGACCCATTAGAGATCCCAATCCTCTTCCCAACCAACCAAGACCAGGAAACCCCGTCGACTGCCGAAAAGGGTGCATCCCCGCGTGGGATTCAAATTCGGCCCTCATTCGAAGACTATGGTTTTCCATGGACAATGCCTCTACCTGGGCACGGAGCCTTCGGCTCTCCTCATCCCTCACAGCCATAACTTCGGTCAGCTGCCTCCTAACCTCCGCTTGAAGCTCACTAGACGACGTAGATGGGGGCCTCAGGCCCTCCCGCTCATAGGGGCTCCTCTGATCCAATTGCTCCACCGACGCACGTGGTCCAGTGTATTCCAGCGGAGCCGCTGGATATAGCAGCGGAGCAGCTTCCTGCATCTGCTGCATTCTCACCAGAGTAGGCACATCGAACAAAGGATCTTGGGCCGCCGTTGCTGGTGGCGGGGGCGGTAATCCCCGCTCAGCCGAGGACCTTACCGAGGCATACTCGACGCTGTCATGTTGAGCAGGCGTTCCAGTACCAGACCTTCCTCCGGTAGACCGGGCCACAAGATTCTCCATGGTCGCCGGCAAGGTTTGCACCGCTCTAAGCACTCCAGTCAAGACTCCGGGCTGTGCAGAGGGCCTGGGCCCATCCGGATTCGATGCCAAGGCACCTCGAGGTCCAGGGAGGCCAGCTGAAGGGCCAGATGCCGGAGCCCGCGGATCCATTGCCGGACTGGGCTGGGAATCAGGTCCAGCCAGTCCGCCAAAGGTCGAATCCACATGCGTTCGTCCCGTACCCGCTGCGGCACCATTCGCCGCCGTAGGAGCTTCACGACCAGTCGTCGAAGTAGTCAGTGGTGTCGCCGCCACAACTTCGTCGTCAATATCCTGCGACCCCCTCAGGGGGTTTGGGATCCCATTCATCAAGGGTCTCCCTTGTTCATCATCATTCTGCGTAGCGGTAGCGCTAGCAGTAGCACTTGGGCTCATAACCTGTTGACGTTCGGGCTCATCATGAGCGTTGGGGTTCTGCATGCCTTCAGCTGCCATGGTTGTAGTCGTCAACGAAGTGTTCAGGATCAATTCACAGAACAGGGAGAAACCATGGGCTCACAACTGATTATTTTTCGCACGCTAAAACACAGTCGGAGATAACCGTCCTCAGGACTGGATGTTGTGCCTGCTCAAGCTAGGCTCATACGACTAGTGTTCGCTTGGCTTCTGCCGATCATGGCGGAGCTCAGCTCTGCCTGAGCCATCAAGGCTTTAGCGGACGTGTTGGCCTTCAGAGACTTCAACAATCCCCTATAGTAACCCTTGTAGACCCCGTTGAAGGAACCCTACTCTTATAGGTAATTCGGGGGCTTACTGCTTCGTTGGCCTATGGATCTTCGCTGTGTCGAGCTCGGACCCGAACTGAAAGCTTGCGGTGTAGGCCTCCCAGTAGCCTAAGTATATCCTGGATTATATCCTCCTTCAAGGGTTCCTGTAAGGGCTCTATAAGGGATCTACAGTAGGGTTCTACAGAGTTTCCGAATTTTAGGTGTACCTTATTTGGGGGCCCTTATAATACGGATCCTACTATTTTGGTACTATATCAGGGTCCCTGATTCTCGGAAACTCCCATGTCGGGCCAGGGTTTCTGAATCACGTTCGTACATTATAGAGTTTTGCGAAGCAGGAACCAATTTTTTACAGCACCACATGGAGAAACAAACGAGCCAACCCGTCGTCATCGATAAACAACCCTAAACCCCTAAACCTCTAAACCCCTTTAGCCTGAAACCCTTAAGCCCAAGCCCTAAACTTGCGGCGTGACGCTAGACTTACTAGACCGACCCTATAGACCCTAAACCCTGACCCTCGCGGCGCAATATCCTTGCAAGGGTGGCCGTGGCATCCACGCGCCGGTCGCGGAGGGCCTCCCCAAGCTGTTCCGTTCTCTGGTGCCGTCGATTGGATCGAGCGCTGGTGCAAGGCGGTCTAGTTCAGAAACTCAAAAATAGTAGCCCCTCACAGTTCGTGTAACTATAATAAACCTCAAGGTCAACACGACAGGCCCCGAGGCACGTTGCTTGCGCACCTCAAAGTCAAAAGCCCTGGTAAGTAGCTGTTCTTGAGCCCCAAAGCTGGCAGCCCTGCTTGACCTGGAACCCCGCACCCTAAACTCTCCTGACACCCTGCCTTGTCTACTGACAAGCAGAAGCAATTCCATCGAATGTCTGACTATCAGTTGAGTCATGCCTCCGAAACCTAGTCAGAAACTCTCATGGGTTTAGCAGCTTCCCAAGGTGCAGTTAAACGGTCATTCTACGATATTTCCCTGAGACCCCAGAGACCCCTTTCCCTGCCATGGTCGCTCTCGTGCTCGTCCTTCCGGAAGCTCTGCGTAAACCCTACAACACAACAAGCCGCAAGCACAAAAAAAAACTAGTAAAATTTTAACCCCAGCAATCCCGTTTTCCCAAACCCTAAAACAAAGCCCAAACAATCCACGAAAAAAGAGGATCCGGAACCCCCCCGAAGCAGAAAGGCTTCAACCCTAAACCCTAAACCGTTCAATACATCTGCTATACTGGAATGCAACGTTAGAGGCCTCCGCATGGATTAACAGGGCATCGCACACGAAGAGGATGGCAACTTCCTGGGTGGAGGGCGTGAGTTCGTTAAAGTTTCAGAGGCCACCGGGCCGAATAGGTCCTAAACCCTACTCAGAGGATCATGGGACTTAGTAAGTAGGGTTATAACTGGGGTTATAAGTCCCCTAAGTGGGGTTATCCTAATTATCTCCTACTTATAACCCTACTTACTAAGTCCCAGGATCCTTTAAGTAAACAACCCTAAACCCTAAACCCTAAACTAAACCCTACACCCTAAACCCTGAACCCTAGGCTAGTGCGAGGGCCGAATAGGCGCTGCACCCGAGACCTCAAGGCCTGAGGGTCTTGAGAGGTAAGGGTACTACAATAAAGGGAACTCCAGAAAGCTGGAATATGGTCTCAGGGTAGGATACCCTATAATTTACCATAAAGGGTTTAGGACAATGATATTCCAACTTTCTGGCTTCTACTGTATACTGTAACACATAATGTACGGAAACATAGTGTTCATCCCGGACAAAATTACTCATCCCTGAGCTAATCGGAATCAATCTCATGGCTTGGAGAGAGAAAGCTGCCCAGATTGATTGAGCATTTTCCGTCGTAATGCGGATCTTGTCCGGCTGCCGTTTATGCAACACTGTTGTGTTGCCTCTATTATGATTATGAACCTTTGCAAACTGATACAGTAGGGTGGTGAACGGGCTTTTGGAAAGAAGGAGGGTGAGGTTCACGAGAGCTGAAGGGTTCGTGGGAGGGGAGGGGAGGGGTGCGAAAGGACCGTCTCGGCAGACATCGATCAGATGAGAGTGAACAAGATAGATAGATCCCCACACATGCGTAACTTGTTGCGTGGTTTCCTTCTGGAGTTTCAGGCTTTCAGTGCTGCATCTTCGTCAGCGTGGTTGGTGAGGAATGGGCGGGCTGATGCGCGAAGCTGATTTCGTTGGTGCCCGGCCCTGACGTTGGAAACAGCCGGCGAAGATCTGCTAAGAAAGCATGCCGCCCTAAGTTGGGGGTCCGCTTTGCGTTCAAAAGTCATGCTCAGAAAAGAATCCTCCTGTGCCATTACCTTTGCTGGCAGAAGTGGGTTACCAGCCCATTTCTCCTACTGGCACATGTGTCTTGCTTTAGAGAGACGGACAGACAGACAGACAGACAGACAGACAGAACGACGGACGGACAGAAGGACAGACAGGCAGACAACATAGATAAGATAGATGAGACAGGTAGGTAGATAGACAGATGCAAAGATAGATGCATAGGCAGATAGATAGACGGGTAGATAGATACATAGATACATAGATAGACACAAAGATAGACACATCGACATGCGGATAGATAGACAGATCGACAGATAGATAGATAGCTAGCTGAAATAGCTAAGACAACTTACATAGCTTAGACGAGATAGAAGGACTAGCTGGGTTAGGTAGATTAGTTAGATAATGAGACAGATGAGTTAGATAGGATATAGATAAGTAGATAGCTGGTTAGATGGTTGCATAGATAGATACACTCACATCGACAGGAAACCAGGCCGGCAGGCAGACAGGCAGATAGATAGGCAGGGGAGATGCACATGTGTTTATGCAGAGACATGTATGGAAGCATGCATACAGACGGGCATGCATGCATACAGCGCATGTGGTGTGCATGCAGAGGTACACTCCAAGACATGCACATGAAATGATATGGTCGCGTTGCATATGGCTTCTAGACCCTAAACTTAAACCTTATACTGTAGCTTTCTCCTTGCCCGAGGGTGCGCTTGCAGGAGCCTCAAAAGTCCAAAATTCTAATGAAAAAAAGACTTGAGACTGCGGGTTGCCACCCGGGCACCACGAGGCGCAGCGCCACACCGAGCCCAGACGGATCCGTGAGGGGCAGCTTCTGCGCTAGGGGCTTCTTGGCTTCCACAGGTTTGAGGGTTTGGGGTTTAAGGTTTCACAGGGTCAGTGGTATGTTTGATAGGATTTTCCGGGGTCCTATGAGTGTTCTGTCATCCATAGGGATCCATCAACTCTGCGGGTTGGAATAATTCGTGATGTTAGTCATGCACCGGTTCAATGTCTGCGATTCCTTGCTTAGGGCTTCTTAACGGCAAGCATGCCAGCTTTGAGGGTTGAAACCGCCTGTCTGTACTTACGGGCCGTCAAACTATCTCAAAACCCTGAACCTTAAAAGCGCTAAACCTGAAATCCGTAGACCCTCAACCGTTAACCCTCAAAACCCTCGAAGCCCTCAGTACCAGCAAAACCCTGAAAACCCTCAGCAACCTCAAGACCCCCAAAACCTACACCAAAAATCCTTGAAAGCCCCAAAGGCCCCAAACTCAAGACCCCAGAACTTAAACCCGAAGCCCTTAAGATCCCAAATGCCCCGCAAAACAAAGCATAAAAACTTCAAAGACACCTCCAGGATGCCAATGAAGAAGTCCCAGAAAGATCTTGTTCGGTCCTTTTGGGAAGAGGGCAGGCTTTGGGGTTCTTGTTTCTGTTTCTTGTGGGTTTAGGCTTCAGCGTTTGGGGTTCAGGGTTCCAGGTTGTTGAGCTGTGTGTGGGGCCTTCTGGATCCCTTTGATGGCTCATGTCTAGTCTACATGTAAAGGCACGCGAGGAGTGGCGTGCTCTAAAGATGTGATATCGGGACCTGAATAAGTGCAATGGTGAAAAAAGGTCGTGTTATACTCTATTTCTGATAGGGAGCCCTAAGACATAATGTTGCGAATTGTTCGGGTCCCCTGTATTTGCCCGAGCGGGGTTCCTGCCATCTCGGGATATTTCTGCACTGCTTAAGAAATAGCATCAAATATGCCAGTACTTCTGTCAAGAGACTGTAGCAGCTTTGACCACGAACAGTCACAGTTCTATTCAGAAAACCTGCTGCCCTCCCTCAGCGACTCAATCGCCTGTCTTTCTTGCTGCGGCAATACCAGCACGAGAACCAGGAACAATAAACGGCCACAACAACATAGACATTGGCATCTCACGGTGCGCATGGTAACCCGGTGTTCGGGATCTCAGACTAGCTCGTACCATAAACCCTGAAACCTAAACCGTAAATCCCGAAACCCGAACTCCCCAAACCGTAGACCTCGAATCCCTTTTTTCTCTTGCGGGGTTCAGTTCTAGGGGGGGGTGTTGTGTCGATGTGTTTGAGGGTTTCGTGTTTTTATGCACCGGGACAAAACTTTTGTTGGTAATAAGACTTTGGGCTAGTACTTGTTCTGATGTTTTGTGTGTAGTGCTGACGCTCACAATGACTTGTCATGTATGCTAAGATGATGTATTGTACATGCGTGGTGTGTCGCGGAAATCAGACATAACCCTCGGCTACGCAGAGCGGAACACATGCAACAAGGCGAAAGCCTCGCGCAGGGCGCAGGACGGTGTTTTCGAGAAGCCAGCGGGTAGCTGTGGTGAGCGCGGGGCGCACTGAACCCGCTATGCTAAACCCTAAAGCCTAAGCCCCAAACAGAGCAGGCCTTGCACTTCGATGCGCCGATGGCGATTCCGTAGATCGCGGCGACCTCATCGGAAAAGAAGCTACAAGGGTTTAAGGTTTAGGGCTTAGGGTTTAGGGTTTAGGGTTTGGGGTTAGGGTGCTCTGGACCCACCGTCCGAAATGTTGATTTTTGCGGGCGATCGTCAGGTGGATATCGTTGGATTGCCATTCATGCAGCACTGTTGTGCTGCCTGGCAACTTGGCAAAGCCAAGTTGAACTCTTGAAAGTCGAGTCCAAATCCGCGGGTGCAGCGTGCTGGATGCAAAAAGCTGGAACCGCACCGTCCCAGTGCACGCACAGACAAGTTTCCATCAAGGTCGGCGGCCTCACCTGAAAAGACGTGAGGTGTTGCTGAGTAAACGAACCCATTGAATTCTTGCCTGCTTTGCTTCATGACATGGGGAATGGCATGCAAGACTAGGTGACTAGGCTGACGAACATATTTGCGGAAAGAGGCCTCTTGTGATAAGAGCTAGCATGAAACATCCGTTAGCATCTGGCAGGCTTAGTGTCAGCACGACACTAGGGCTCAAATAGCGTGCAAGCAATCACCACATTCTACACTGCCTCACAAAGCAGTGGCATCTTCAAGCCACGAATTTCCTTCTTGGGCCGGGCCAGGAAGTGCTTTAGCAGCTTTAGCAGGATGCCCATGGCGAAAACAATGAGAAAGAGCAGCCAGATGCCCTCCACAAACGGCATCTGCTGCGTCTCCCGCGGCTCTTTGTCCTAAGTTCCGAAGTATCCCCCTTCACAATAAGGGCACCCTCTCTCCTACTCTACCGTTCAAGAAAGAGACCCCAAAATACAAACGACAAAAGGGTAATCCTGGAAGACTTAGCTTCCAAAGTCGCCAGGGCGTCAATCGCTGCGGCATTACCTTTCTTCCGCTCCTGCTGACAAAACTCCTCCGGCTTGGTCTCCACGAAAATGTACTTGACACACATGTAAACTGCCTTCATGCACACGTCGGCCGGATATTTGGCGAAGCAATTAGCAGTTTGTGTATTGAAACAAAATGATGGTCCGCACTGCTTCTCCGACGGGCTTTCCATCGGAAAGCTTAGCAGCTCTCCCTTCAGATCAGCCGCATCCCTCACAGTCAGAAGGAACGCAAGAACGAGTCTTGCCATGGCGGCAAAGGGTAAACCCGCGTCTCTTTCCAGGCTTTTTCGGATCTGTCAGCCAAGGTCGCAGTGCAAAGTTTGATGCATTCACAGAGCAAAGCCTTCGTAAAGTTCGTACATCTTTGACCACCATAGTCCTATGCAAATCATTGTAAATCCTAACCGGCCACCAATCCCCCCAAAAAAATCCCGTGCCTGTGACTCTGCGCTTCGGTCTTGCTCGTTCACAAAGGGCAATAACACCTCAGAGCTTTAATTCGGGATTCCTGATTGTCAGTACGGAATAAGGCTTTTGCAATCAGGTTTTGTAAAAAGAATCTATACTGGGGATCCATAGCCAAAAATAAGGAAATACCGCCCAAAACTCCATTCGGATTACTTTACGCCCTCTTCTTTGGGGCTTCGGGCTTGATGCTCTACCAGTTCGGATAGCAGAACTGCTGTCTGATGCGATCCCAGCTGGCCCGGCTCTGTCCCTGGAGCCCCCAGAGCCTCCAAACTCCCCCCCCCGTAATGAAGGAACATACCGTAATTCATACTGGGGATCCGATTACAACTTAAGGTATATTCCTTAATTAAGTGACATTGGAGTCTCTGGGCTAGTGAACTTCAGAACCCGCAGGAATCTGAACACTGAACACGGCTTGCAATTCGGCCAGAAAACGATACGGCCACATGAACACCCCGCGCAAGAACGAGATGGCCTTATGTGGCCATACTAGTTATTCAACCGGACTAGCTAACAACAAGACTGATGGTAGAGAAACAAAGTAACTACAGGAAGCTATCAATGACGATACTCAAAGACTGCAAGAAGACCAAAACAGGAACCTCTTGCGAGCAAGGTAGATAAAAACAGCTAACGACAATGCTACTGAGCGATGATTTTTGACAGCGCTAACAAACCCAGTTTTAAATGCCTTGTGTGTGCTTGGACACCTTCCATAAGTTTCAGAGCCCTACCACCAGAACAGCCGTGCGGACCTGAACAAATCCTTGTAACTAACACGACATGCCGTCAACGCGTGAAAAGCCTCGAACGACCTGAAAAGCGTTTCAAACCATAGAGATCTCTTTAAACGAACAAAAATAGATCCCTGTAAGGCAACCCTTCTATGCCCGCCTCGTCAAGCAACTTGGACTGCGACGGGGAGAGGAAGTTGTGACCTGGATCAGTTGATTGTAGGTTTGTTAAGGTCTTGGCTCAACACAGTACAAGGTGCTTTAAATTATATTATACATGTATATTGGCTTGTATAAGGTTTGAGTGTTTTAGGTTTCTGTATGCTTCAGCTAAGAAAAACCAAAGGATTTCGAGTACACTAGAGGGCCTCAGACTCTCGCCTCACTATAAGAACCCTTATATAAGAATAAGCCTAATCATAAGAATAAGAGCAAGAGTAGTAAGTAATCATCACTATGAGTATGAATAAGAAGAATAAGAAGAAGAATAAGAGCAAGAAGAAGAGAAGAAGAAGACAAGTAGCAACAATTGCGAGTAAGAACAATCAGAATGCGAATAAATGACAAGTCAAGGACTCATTCATAATGGCAGTAACTACGAGTAGGAAGGAAAAGTCAGAATACGTCCATCATGCTAGTGCTCAGAAGCCCTCCTGCCTCAAAAAAAGCGAGTTCCAGGGCCCCGGCAGTACTGGAGCCAGGTGCTGGACATCAGCAGCACTCGCAGGAAAGACTCGTCACGGTAGTCACGAGCCTCCTCTGCTCTGCACAAGGCGCGGGTCTGAGGATGAAACATCGGATGAACAATCTCGCGGCTTGGGTTGATATTTGGCAATGGCTCAAGGCATGTGGAGTCCCTGGACCTTTTAGGACGCAAATGCAAGCCGAGAGCGACAGTCAAAGCACGAAGGCCGCAGAGATCTGGCAAGGAGAAGACCGAGAGTGAAAACACATAACGGCGCATCCTTGTCCCCCCCAGATGAAACAGTTGCACAGGTTAGGGAGCAGGGCCTGTGGCAACCATGGCTCGAAACGTGTCGCTTGAGCTCAAAACAGGACATGAAACCCTGAGTCCTCTAAAAAACCGCCCTGGTAGTGGGGCTGAGGGCTTGCAGCATCAAAATCCGCAACCCGCCCCTTCCCGAAGCCTTACCGACTCGGTGCTCTCTACTCCAGTCTAGGGTTTATGGTAGAAAGAGGATGGGCCGCTCAGGGCTCGAGGGGCTTCCCCCCTCCCAAAGCCTCCACTTGGCTCCTCTTCCTTTCGAGTGCCTGCAGCAGGAGTCGGAGCAGCAGTCCTAGAGAGTACTGGTAAGTCGCACAGCGGAAGTGGCAGCGGCAGGGGGAGCAGTAGCAGTAGGAGCAGGAGTAGCAGCAGCAGCAGTAGAAGTAGTAGCACTAGAAGCAGGAGAAGCAGCGGCAGTCGTAGTCGTAGTCGTGGTCGTAGTCGTGGTCGTGGTCGTGGTCGTGGTCGTGATCGTAGTAGTAGCAGTAGTAGTAGTAGTAGTAGTAGTAGTAGCAGCAGTAGTAGCAGTAGTCGTAGGAGCATTAGTCGGAGTAGTACTAGGAGTAGCAGTAGAAGTAGCAGTAGCAGTAGCAGTAGCAGTCGTCGTAGCAGTCGTCGTCGTCGGTGGTGGTGGTGGTGGTCGTGGTGCTGGTCGCGGTGGTGGCTGTAGCAATGGCAACATTAGCGATACCTTTGGCTAGTTCTAATCTTGCGCTTGCACCCGATCAGGAGTCTCAGGCCTTACCATCCATTCCAATGATGTGCGAAACGCTTCAAGCGCTTCGTTCAATGCCTGCAAGCCTGAACATCCTCAAATAGGCTTTGTGGTACGCGAGCCCTACCTGCCGTAGCCTACAGAATACCAGGTGCTTCTATGGGGGAGAAGCTTGTAGACAAAGATAGATGCGCCAGCCCGAGCAATTCAAACACTCCGCCCCATGAAAAACATGACGCCGAAGGGCCCACACCCAGAAGCCCTAAACTCTACAACCCTGTAGCCTATAGGATCCCGTAAAGGACGCTTGTACCCGCACAGAACCCTTGGGCTGTGTAGGGAGGCGCCTTCTCAAGCTCCTGGGTGCTCGGCCCCGCAGCGACACGAACATGCCTTTGCCGGGCCTGACCGACTTCTGGTTCAAGGGGGGTTACTTGGAGGGTCGGGGGACTTAGTAAGTAGGTAGTAAGTAGACTTATACGTACCCTAAATGGGACCCTAGTTGCGGTTACGGTACTTAAAAGTCCCTAAAATAACCAGTTACTAAGTCCCCCGACCCTCCAAGTAGGCCTTCGTGAAGAGTTCATGGTTTAAGGTTGCTTGTCAAGTTAAGGGTTTAGTCTGCTTGGTTGAATTTAGGGTTTAGGGTTCAGGGTCCACGTGCCAGGCACAGGGGGCAGAGTTTCGATAGTGCGTCTCCAGGCTGCTTTCGGATATCAGGTTAGGTTCCTGCTACTACTCCCGTCCTATCCCTCAGGGTCCATGTGCCAAAGTGAATATACTTTGGTCTTCAAGTAGGCCCTGTATAGATACTTTGGAGCCAAAATATACACTATTACCTGCACCCTGACCCTTACTCAAACGCAGTGGGAAAGCCGGGCCTTGCACCTTCAATCCAGAATGCCTGCGTCTCCGTCTCCAAACCCCTGAAGTACTGCCCAACGAAATAAGGTGCCTGCTCAACACCACAAAGCAACCTTTGAGGGGGCGGAGGGGAGCAGCATAGTTGTACTATAACAACCACAACAAATGTCCGTATGGTAACCTATGGACCCCTGAAAGGAACCCGAGTCTAGTTGCAAAGGCCCTTGAACTAACTGCTGTCTCTGATCTCGATTGTTGGATGACAATATGGGATCCTAAATATCAAGTTGGTTCAAAAAGCGGAATTACAATGGGAACTAGAATGAACTGCTACTCGAACAAACCCAGAATGTGATCAAACCCAGAATGTGATCGTTGCTGTTCTGGATTTCTTAAGGAACTTAAACGTAAGCTACCATAAAAGGGATGTATAGTAAATACAGGTAAATACTATGGCTTCTTTAGTGTGGTAACTTAGACAAATTCCTAAAACCCTATTTCTTTATTGTAACTTAATTAGATAAATTCCTAGAACCCTAAACCCAATTAACAAGAGCCCAGGGTAGGATCTCCAGAGCCTCGGGGCAAGAGCATCTGCGGCATTCAGGGGCTCAGGGAACTAGGGCTGCCACGCGGTTTAGGTTTTTGTTTAAGGGTTTAGGGTTTAGGGCCTAGGGAGCAAATTGCTCACAGATGTTGCGGTTTGACGGCTTAAGGTTTCGGCGGTTCGGGTTTAGGGCTGAGAGGTTTAAGGTTTGCGGTTCAGGGGCTTCTTTTTGCGGGCTTCGGGCTCAACCCTTAGCGTTAAATCTGCGTTGGTGTTTCTGGCTTTTGTACGTGGGCAGTTCTCTAAATGAGGGTCCCTTTTAGGGTCCTGTTTATGAGGGTGCCGTACGATTTGGGGGGGATTCTCTAATCCCTTATACTACCCTTATAGAAACCTTATCGAAACCGTTATAGATCCCTTGAAAAAGCCCTCAAAAGGGACCCCGAATCTGGAGAGCTACCCTTGTACTGCCCGTGTAGAAAGCCTTGCAGATCCCTTTAAGGAGCCCGAAAAAAACCCTAATTTAGAGAACTAGTCTTGTAGTAGCCTTGTAAAAACCCTTATAGAAGCCCCTCTAGATCGTTTTCAGGACCTTAAAACGGACCCTAATTGAGAGAACTACACGTAAAGTAGCGTTATAGAAACCCTTGCAGATCCGTTTTAAGGACACATAACAGGGATCCTAATTTAGAGAACCACCCTTATAGTAGCCTTGTAGAAACCCTTATGAAACCTTTTAAGGACCCAGAAAAAGGGACCCTAGTTTAGAGAGCTACCCATGTCAAACTGCCCGGAGCCTGTTCCGACCAGCGCTCGTCATCCAAGTCCTTGCGACAGTCAGTAGTTCAGAGTAGGGTTCAGGGTTAGGGTTGAGGGTTGAGGGTTTAGAGTTTATTTGTTGAGAGGGTGCAAGGTTTAGAGTTTAGGGTTTGGAAGTTTCTGGTTCCGGATTTTATGTTGTTCATGTTGCTTCAGGTTTAGGCCCTTTAGGCTTTGGGGCGCCGGGTTCCCAGGTCAGGAACGAAGCGTTTCTTCTCTGCTTCCCCCGACGAGATCCAAGAACAAAACTCTATAAACCCCGACCCTACTAAACTCCTAAACCCCTAAACTAAAGCATGAAATCCCAGCAAGGCAGAAGGGTTGTTTGCGGTTGGCCAGGTAGAAAGCACTGCTGACCGTTGACAGGAAGTTGATGGAAGGTGTCTGTGATGTCGAGCAAGTACCAATACTGTTTGTACCCTAAATATCACTGCTCCGTGTCTACGAGCAGGATGGCTGCATATATGAGGGCCACCTCTGTGGGCAGCTTCTTGGTGAGAAGATATCTGTAACACGGGTGTTTCCGAAAGTTAGCTACTATTTTGGGTACTATATTGGTCCCCCTTTTTTCGGAAACTCCCACATGAGTATGAATGATGAGTTAAGGTATCAAACACCCTATTCTGGATATTGCGAACCGTTTGCTTGCTCTTTACAAACTGCGTCAGCACTGTGACACCGAGACGCACCCAACCTATCTGGAGAGGTGGCTGTTGTTCATCCAGTACCGAAACCAAACGAGAAGCAAGCCTAAAACCTCGATTACAGCGGACCGCCGACAGTCCTGTCGTAGCTGTGCCATTTCATTCTCCCGCTTCTTAAGATGATGATCGGCCGCCGCTGCGTCCTGCCACAACATGAGAGCACCACCCATGGAGGCAACGACGGAGGTCTTCTAGTAGAAACATGCTTTCAAAGCCTCAGCGGGCTTCAGGATTTAGGGTTTAGGGTTGGTGAATGTTCCATAACTCACCAACCCTAAACCCTAAATCCTAAACCCTAAACCTTAAACCCGAAACCCTAAACTCATCAGCTGCCCGGCCTTTCTGATCTGTCCATAAATTCCGGAAGCCATCATGGCTAACCTGGCCAAGAGAGACTTTCGAGGCGCCGGATATGTTCGAATCCGGGATTAGGGTTTAGGGTTTAGGGTTTAAGGTTTAGGTTTAGGGGTGTGTATGGGTGGGCTGATAGTCTTTTCGTGTCCGCCATTCCTGGACCTAATCCTGACACGGTGTAGATATGTGGACAACTTTAGCAGCAAACGACTGTGCACGGCTGCTACTAGTGGCTGCTGCTGTCAGTACTCGTGTCTCTACAGAGAAGAGGACCACCACTACAACCACTACCTACTACGACTACTATCGTCACCACCGCCCCACCGCCACCAGAAATGCAATGTAGGGTATGCTGCAGTCATGAGGCTGTCAGTAGGTGCGATACGGCTTCATCTTTGCCAGGGGAATGCACTTGGCCTGTTTGTCTGGAGCCGCCCCAAAGAAAGAATCTCAAACCCTGCAAGCCCAAAAAGAAATCCGTGGAGGGAAGACATACTCAAGATGATGATGAGGAACTAACTTCCTAAGCCTTGATACCCAGTTTTAAATGGACTTAACCACATAAACCCCAAACCCTAAACCCGATGCCATAACCGAAACCGCTCTCTCTGCAACCGCAGGCAACGCTCGCCAGAGGTACGTGGCCTCTGCTTCCATTTCTGCCTGGCGGGCTCTAGGGCTGAGGGCAAAGGGAAGCCCTGAACCCTCATCGGGCGCTGAGGCCCAAAATGCCCAGACTCCCTAACAAGCCTCAAAAAACCAAAAAGGAAACGCAAAAGACAAGCCCCAATGCGGAACTTTGAACGACGGGCGCACTAAACCCTGAATGCTACAGCCGAATTAAGAAACCCTGCTGATGCAACCTCGACATATTAGGACCCAAAACGAAAAGGAACCGTGGTAAACACCCCAACATTCTTCATCAAGCTCATGTATTACCATGAAGTTGACCGACTCCCTTCTCTTCTGCCCGCCTTCCTGCCCCGATGCTGCATTGAGTTGCTCACATCGGCAGAGGCGACCTTGCGAATGCGTTAGGGATCAACTTTAGGGGTATACTATCGCTAAAATGGGGACCATAAGAGAATGCTGCTGATTTGATTTCGGATTCAGGCTCCCTTTCTCGGGTTTATTTTCTGGGGGGCTGAGCCGTTCGAGCTGCGATATAGTGGCATCATGCAACACATTGAATCACAGAGCTACACAAAAAGCGCCTGGCAACGTCCGACCCTATCACAATTTGATGCAGTGTGACATGAGCTAGCAGAACAGCGAGACTCGGTCGGCATAATCTGGCATGGCATGAGACAACGTAGCGAAAGAAGGCGCAACATGACATTGCTTGCACAATGTGCGTTCTCGCATGTCGACGGCCAGGCCACTAGCTAGCTTTTGTCCACTGTCCGGGAGATGTAGCAGTGGTCGTCGTTGTAGTTGTTGTAGTAGTAGCAATAACTAACAGGCTGGTAGTAGCCAAGTAGGAGTAGCAGCAGCAGCAACAGGAGCAGGAGTAGCGGTAGGAGTAGGAATAGGACTAAAATAGGAGTAGGAGCAGGAGCAGTCGGAGTCGGAGCAGGAGTCGGAGCAGGAGCAGGAGTAGGAGGGAGGAGTAGAAGAAGGAATGGGAGTAGGAGTCGGGGGCTAGTAGTCGTAGGAGTAGTAAGAGTAGTAGGAGTAGGAGCAAGAAGGGCAGCAGCAGAAGCAAGATTAAGAATAGCAGTAACAATGTAGCCGTAATTGAATTGTGGCTGGTGTTGTTCTTGCTGTGATTGTAGTGGTCTCACATCAAAGCGAAGATACAAGCCTCGGCCGCAGGGTTGATGGTCTCGGGTTTATAACTTACAAGTTCGGGGTTTAGGGTTTAGGGTTTAATGGTCTGCTTTAGAAACAGCATCCTGAGCATTGGAAGGAGAGATCAAGGCTGCACAACAAGCCCTTCGACTACAACCCCTAGCTGCAAAACCCTGAACCCCAAACCATCCCTTGCCCAGCAAGCATGCAATCGAAATCCGTAGACTTCAGCCAAGCGTCTCTGCGAAAAAGCAGAAAAGCCTGGACTTCGGACGGCGTGCTTCGCGGAGGATGCAATAGCCGACCGGGGCTTGGCATCAAGTTATCTAGTCGGGCGTGCATACATTTCTATATATATATATATATATATATGTATATATATATATATATATACATATATATATATATATATATGCATATATATATATATTGAAGGTATATGCATACTCTCGCGCAGACACATGTACAAACGAGCCTACACCTACACAGTACAATGTGGAAGCAGTGATCTAGCAGAGCGCCCCGTGGCTGCTGCATGTTTTGGCATTGGACAATCCTGCAGGCACCCGTGCATGACAAGCTGCGCAAAGCAAAATGTCTGCGAGACTTTGATTCATTGCTCCGTCATAAAAATCTAAATTCAAAACCTCAAACCCCTACTTGCAGGGCCCCGAATCAGAAGTTACAGAATACGGCGCCTTGGAGTTCCACGTGTATATATATGTATACATATATATATATATATATGTATGTATGTAAAAATACACATTGAATATAATGTGAGCGGAAAAGCCTCTTCCAACAACCCTAAACCCGAAGCCTTAAGCTGCTCCAAGTCCCCCGTGAAGCTCCCGTTTTGGGGGCTTTCCGAAAATCTGGGGGTACCTTATTTTGGGGTCCGTATAATATGGATCCTACTATGTGGGGTACAACCCTATTTTCGGAAACTCCCATTTGGGGCCCCAGCCAGCGACATCACCGGCATCGATGCAGCCTCTCGGCCGTTCCTGTTCAAGCTGGGTAGAAACCGGAGAAATGCGCACCATGATCACATTCTGTGTTATTTTGTGGAGCCGGTTGAATAAGGGCCCTCTGTTTTCTGTTTGGAAGGGCTGCCCGGGTTGGAAGCAATTGAATTGACACCGTTTTGTACCCGGCTTTTCTGGTTGTCATGCTTGCTAGGGCGGATGTACACGGCTATTCGCTTCTTGTAAAGAGATGCAGAAAGCATGTCTTGTGCTGAGAGCGTCCTACCCTCGAAAGACTCGTGCCCAACATGAATACTCATGCCTACCATAAGATTCGAATATTTCTTGTAATCCTTGCCACCGGAAGGGCTTACGAAGCAGGCAGCTGTGTAATGGGTGCTTCGGGCACAAGTTTGACAGGGCCTCTCTCAATAAGCTTCTCGCCAGTCCAAAACCTGACCTTTAACCACTAAGTCTAATCTAACCTTCATGCCTTACCTCCGGCATGTGATTTCATGACCCTAAACCCTACCTGACCTTAACCGCCTGAATCCCCGAACCCCGTTTCACACCGTCTCCGTCTCACAGGTTCGACCAGAAACGAAGCCGGCGGGACGGGAAAAAACCGGAGACCCGGCCGGTCGCTGCCGCCTCCACGGGGATGGCCTCGGTGTTCAATACTTCAAAGGCTCGATTACGGTTTTACGGGTCTTTATACGGGTGTTTGTACGGTTCGATAACGGTTATATGAAGGTTCGATCAGAGTTGTATTAGGCTCTGCCAAAGTTTTCTCAAAGTTTTACAAGTTTTCTGTGAGTTTTTGGCAGTGTTCCTAAAAGGCTTGTGCGAAGGGGTTTTAGGCTTCGTGTTGGGGCTCGGGGTTTACTGGGTGCGAAGTGTTGGTTTTTGAAGGGGTCGGGGGGTTAAGGTAGAGGGTGTCGGAGTTTGAGTTTGGGACGCGGTGGGTTTCTGGGAAACAATAAGCTTAGCATTGCTGGCCCACGTGTTGAGGTTGGAGGGTTTTAAGATGGCAGGTTGAGGATGTAGTTCTGCCTAGAGAATTGAAGCAGGTAGATCTACATAACAAGACACCATACTATGTGGAGCCTTCTGTAAAACCTTTACAGAAACCTTATTAGAAACAATTCTAGGACTGTAAAACGAACTCACGAACAGCCAAGAACCGACCCTCATCATGAGAGGGGGGGCACGAACCACGCAAAGAAACAACAAATAGGAACCACGCTTCGGTTTCAAAGGAACCGCGACAAGAATTTAAGAATCTCTTCAAGTAACACTGTCGTGGAACAGTCGTGGGAAGCCTATAGGCCTCCATGGGCATCTGCGGGCCCATGTTCGTTGTGCTTAACAACCCGCTTCAGCTCGGAGGCTCAGGAGTCATGATAACGTCCAGATCAGAGCCCATCCGTTTCCGCAGAGCAACCATGGGCCAACCATGATTACGTCCAGATCAGAGCCCATCCGTTCCCACAGAGCATCCATGGGCCAACCATGATAACGTTCAGATCAAAGTCCATCCATTCCCGCAGAGCAGCCATGGGCCGATCATGATTGCGTCCAGACCAGAGTTCATCCATTCCCACAAAGCTTCCATGGGCCAACCATGATTACGTCCAGATCAAATTCCATCCATTCCCACAGAGCATCCATGGGCCAACCATGATAACGTTCAGATCACAGTCCATCCATTCCCTCAAGCAACCATGGGCCGACCATGATTGCGTCCAGACCGGAAAGTGCATCCATTCCCACAGAGCATCCATGGGCCAACCATGATGTTGAGATCACAGTCCATCCATTCCCGCGCAGCATGGGCCACAACCACGATAACGTCCCCAGATCAAACTCCATACATTCCCACAGAGCATCCATGGGTCAACCATGATAACGTCCTGATCAGACCATCTGTTCCCGCAGAGCATCCATGCGCCAACCATGATTACGTCCAGATCAAACTGCATCCATTCGCACAGAGCATCCATTTGCCAACCATGATAACGTCCAGATCAAACTACATCCATTCGCACAGAGCACCCAATGGGCCAACCATGATAACGTCCAGATCAGACCAGCAATCGACGTCCGAAGTCGGTCCACCAATCCGTGCGTCGTTTGGTTAGAGGGACTCTCGGGGGAAAGGGCAAACAAGGTCCGATTTCGATCCAAATTCCGAAATTGAACCGCAAATCGTGCGTCGTTTGGTTTGGGGGACGGATAGGGCAAACGACGTCCGATTTCGCCCCGAACTACGGAATTGAGACCCAAATCGTGCATCGTTTGCTTTTGGGGGGGTCAGGACAGGGGTTTCGGTCCATGGCATTCGGTCCATGGCACACACTCCCCATTTGGCAAATTGGACTTCTTCCCCTCCATAGTGGCAAGCTGGAGCACAGGGGACTGTGATGGAGGAGATCGCACAAGCCGCTACTTTTGGGGTTCCGAAATTGCCAGAAAGTGCAAACGACGTCCGATTTCGGTCCAAATTTCGAAATTGAACCCCAAATCGTGCGTGGTTTGCTTTTGGGGTTCCGAAATTACCAGAAAGTTGCCTTCTTGGACCACGTGGCCTTCTCGGCCTTCTCGGACCACTTGGCCCAACTCGCCTTCTCGGCCCTCCATAGGGGCCTACTCGCTTTCTTGGCCCCCCATAGGGGCCTGCTTCATTGACGGATTCGGGCCAAAAAAGCACTGCGGTGCGGCACAGCAGAACTCACACGGAAGCAGAAGCACTCAGTCACTCACGCAAAACTCAGTCACTCACTGATTAGATACCTGTCATGGTTCGCAAACTTCTGTTGTAGTTCCTTAACAGCAGAGTGTGGTTCGCACTCCTGCTGTTCATCATGATCCGCCGAAACTCCCGTTGTACGTACCCAACCTCTCCGGTCTCCTTCGCAGACTCTTTGTGGTGACGGCGAATTGGATTTACAGTCTTTTCGATGCGCACGTTACTGAGCCACAAACATTTGAGAAAAAAGGAAAACAATCTATGTCTCGTGTACCGCTACCGCTGGGTTTTGGTTCATGTTGGGCTTCTGGGGGTCCCGGGAGTGGTTGCAATCTTCCCACGGGTTTGTTGGAAGTTGATTGATTTGTTTGTTGGTTGTTTAGCTGGTTGGCTGGGTTGGTCGGTTGGTCGGCAGGTCGGCTGGCCGCGGTTGCTCGCGGTTGGTCGGTGGCTGGTCGGTTGTTAAGTTGCTGGTTGCTGTCGGTGTTGCGGTGGCTGTTGTTGCTGCTGTGGGTTGTTGCTGTTGAGGTGCATGAAAGCGACACGGGACAATGCTTGCGTTGAAGCATGGTTGGATTGGGGGATGGGGAGTGGCGGAAATGGGGATACTGGAAGGTGGAGGGAAGGGGGGCTGGCGGTTGAGATTCAACACGTAGGGATCTGGGGCTGATGATTAATATAACGTTTAAGCCTTAATGCTGTGTCTAACGTTTAAAGTTTCAAAGCTTGAGAACTTCGGTAAGGGGTTAATGTCCGTGGTCAACCCCCCCCAGCCCACCTCCCATCGCTGCAGCGGGGCCGGCGCAAAGCGCTCGAACACGAGCACGCCATCTCCCTGTCCTCAAGATCGCTCGCATGGCACCATAACCGACCATGTCTGGGGAGTTCGAACCCGGAGAAGTCAGCGGACGGAAATTCGGCCCACAGATCTATACACAGCTGTAGACGCGGCATGATGGGAACAACAAAGCGAAGACGAGGTCAGGTGAAGCTGCCGCAGACGGTATACTTCTACTTTCAGGATGCTTGGCCCGCAGATCTTTGTGATTCGTTCGTGCGCTTTCAATGAGTGCCTGCCGCAAGCGGTCCCGACGGCAATGAAGCAGCAATAAACAACACATGTGATGTGTCACTTCGCCGCCACCATCGGGTTGGCATGTTTGCTGAAGACACTAATGTGGCCGGTCCGGATGCCCATAGCGAATTGAACCAATGAATTCCATCCGAAGGGCCGCACACCACTTGGTGTAGAAGGAAGAATCCTCACTGACATCCCCGCGCCGTATCTGTACGGCGTTCCGCACAGCCTGCAAACGCTTCTGCATGCCTCTTGCAGCCACGCATAGGCGGACACCAGTCCCTGGAGACTCCCACTGTGCCCAAAAAGAACCATTTGCTGCAGATAGGGAGGGAAGAACTCAAATTCAAGAGCTGCCTCAAAGGCCGGGAGACAGAGCAAGTAGCCCTGCTCCGCCAGTTCCGGCCCTCCTGCGTAATCAGGCTGGAAGTCGTATAGAATTTCCACACATTTCATAGGCTATGAAGCCTGAGCGGTCCATCATTCTTCAAGTTGGCGGGGGTAATTTCGGAAGATTCGAAGCACTCGGTGCTCTGGCGTCCTTCGAGTTAATTTTCATAATTCGTCTACTGTTCCATGCAAATCTTTCGGCAGCTGAACACCACACGGCTCGAATCTTCCAAAAACTCATATTCGAAACCTCACGACATCAAAATACCGACAGGCTCGCAGCTTTCCAAAATTCCGGACAAGGTTTGTGAACAAATCAGGCCTACAGGGCCCACGTAATTAAAGGTTTGCGAATTTGGAGAACCTTCGAACACATCGCATTGTCTGTGACCTCCTCATGGTTTCGGTATTTGGGAGAAGTCGCGCAGCTGTGCTGTGAGCTCAGGGTCTGTGAAATACCGCCACGTGTGGGTTTTCTCGACCTTTTCAGAAAACAGCCACGTCGTTCCGTGCTAAAGCTCGCGGCACCAGTGGCCAGCAGAAGCGCTGAAGGATGACGGTGTGCAGTTCTCCTAACCTGATGTTTTCATGAAAGCTCATTGCTGCCGAACCCTACTGCCCTGGCCCTTGCTCACGACACTCCTCCCTTGCCAGACCCACCTGCTTCGAAGAAGGTGGATCAAAGCAGAGCCGGGGAAGGGAGGGCGTGGAGCACATAAATAAGTACAACTTTGAACACGCACGATACATAGCTCTCTCCCGCTCTCTCTCTCTCTCTCTCTCTCTCTCTCTCTCTCTCTTCCTTCCTGTGGCTCGCCCCACCATGCCAACATCGTAAACCCAGAACCACGTAAACCCTTAACCCGCCTGCCCAGTGGGGGATGCCCGATCACACCACCCGTCAAGCCCAAGCACTGCACCTAAATCGTCCATCCTAACTCCGCCAGGGTTAACGGCACGCGACAGACAGGAGACTACCCCCCTTGGCCCTTCAACCGGTAAGCCCCAAGCTTTTTCAGCCAGGGACGGCTCGAAACCAGCTCACTTGCGCGCGAGTCCACTACAAAAGTTTCTTCAAGACAAATGGCTGCCCCAGCGCCGAGCAATAAACGATCACCGTGATCAGCCTGTTCCTGTGCGACCCTTGTTGCCGACGAGCCAGAGAACATCGTCATCCAACCGAAAATGCGAAGCCCGACTTTGCTAAGCAGGGAAAAGGCACGGCCCCAAGACCTGACATGAGACGACACAAATGGTATGCCGCTGTCGAAACACCAAAGGTACCGATGCAGTTAACGGGTGCACAGGGGGGTGTATGGTATACAGTTTAGGGAAACTTCAAGACTGCCCTAAACCCTAAGACCTGCCTCTTAAACCCTGCTCGCCCTTGTCCGAGGCGCGGTCGCGTGGCGTTTAAATTAGAAGAGGGCTCTGCGGTATAGTGTAGTACACTCATATTAGGAACCCTACGGAATAATATTGGCAATAGATCTTGCAAACCCTGAACCCCAGATTACAGTATGCTTGGTGCCCCAACCATGATGGCTGCGGCAGCCATTTCGACCATCTCCATCCCTGCCACGACACAGTTGCAGCAGAGGGCTTATGTAAGGGTTTGGAGCTACAGCGAACTTGTATATCAAACATAAAAAGCGCTGTCACCCTAATCCTAGACCACTTACTCCAGACGCTAAACCCGGAACTTAAGCCTCTGAAAGCCATACCCCTAAACGCTACATTGCTACATCCCTAACCTCGAAGCCCTGACTTCTAGAAGCCCTGTAGACCCCAAAGACAAGCGTGCCGCCAGCCACGGCCCGACGTCTCATGAGGCAGCGGTGAGACCTGCATTTTAGGGCAAGGGGCTTAAGAGTGTGAGGTATGTGAGACTACATTTACAAGAGCTTTTAGACGGTTTATCAAGGTTCTATATATGCTTTGACAGGTCTAGGAGCTTTTGTAGATATGCGTCGCTTTCCGTGTTCCCAGTGTCCCCCCGACCAATGAGCATGCCACACCCCCCGTTCGGGGTGCCAGCCTTGACTAAGCCCTCTCCAATTCTTCGATAAGTAGTAAACCCCGGGAGAAGCCGTGTCGCTCCACATAAGAACAGGAGGGAAGGGCCCCCCCCCTAAAGCCTTTTAAGACTTCATGTGAAGCAGGCAGGGATATGCGGCTCAGGGTTCAGGGCAGGGCATAGGAGTGAATCATAGGCCCTCACGCTCACAGCCACTTAAGGTCCCAGTGGCTTGTTATGGTGCTGGCATGCCGCTTTCATGAGCGCAGTGCTTGACATCCCATATCCCGAAGTTGCTGGACAGCTGGGGGTACCCGAGCCACAGACCTGTGCCAGTTCACCCCCCAAGCCCCGAATGGAGCCCTGAACCCATAGAGTCCCTTGGGTAGCTGGATTCGGTCTGGCCGCGCCCAGCAAGTAACCCTGAACCCAGCCCTGAGCCCTACTTGGAGGGTCGGGGGACTTAGTAAGTAGGTAGTAAGTAGACTTATAAGTACCCTAAAAGAGACCCGAATCGGGGCTATGGTACTTATAAGTCCTTAAAATAACCAGTTACTAAGTCCCCCGACCCTCCAAGTATAGGCGTAGCCCCAAAAAGTGTCAGCAGCACTCTTATGAAATCGACAATCCACCCTTACATGAATGTGCCCGCCCTCTCCCCCCGACCCCCATCCCCGCGGAGCGACTTTCTGTGTGAATACCCATCGCCTCTGCCCCCAAACACAGCTGCTTTCGCAGGCACTCCTGGTTGCAACTAAAACCAAGCCCTGGACCCCCAAAGCCTAAAGCCCAAACCCCAAACATGGCGAGCTTGCATGCGAGGAGTGGAAGAGCTGACACAGGTCGAAGGTAGCCTGCGACGGGAAAGGATGTTCTTCCTATCACTCCGTGGTCTTGGGGAGCGTTTAAGGGCCCGTGTAGGGCCACGATGGGAACTCTGAACTCTGTTAAGGAGAGTGCAGGCCCATTAGGGGCCTACCTCAAGGATCAGTGGACGTAGAGCCTTCATCCTGGATAGCCTCACTTCGGGAACTTGTGACCCTGCACGCCACCTACTTGTAACACCCTGAACCCAAAACTCCTGTCTGCGTCTCGTTCTGTCTCTTTCCATGGGCCCTTCCCCGCGTGTGGCTGCCTGTCGATCCATGTTCTACAGTGCTCGAGGGTTCATAATGTAGGGGCCTTAACAATTAGAATAGTGTTTGGGGGTTCCTGATTATAGCGTTAGAGTATAGTATAACCCCCAAACCCTATTCTAATTTTTTAGGCCCCTACATTTGCGAGTTTAGTGGCCACGACACGGAAAACGCACCTTCAAGCCTAAACTCTGAGCGAGCCCCCACGCTGCGCCGCAAGCCCTCCAACCCGGAAATGCACGGAAAGTACCCCCAGAGACTCCAATATCCCTCAAAACAGGAGAATGAATATATATATATATATATACATATGTATATATATATATATACATTGATTTAATTCATACTCCTTGTAAGCCAGAGACCCGGCCCGGCGGCCCTCTCCGGCCTGTGCGGCGGTGTCAGGGTCGGCAGTGCCTTCAAAGAGTTGCGGAGCTTTTGTTGCTCCATCACGTGGCGTGAAAGACTTCGCGACTGGGCTTCTGCGGGGAGCGCTACCTGGACCCCAAAAGTATGTAGGATACTAGCCTTTTATAGGTTTTGGGCCATTATTTTGCCTACTTTTGGGGGTTTAGGTAACCCCAAACTCCTAAACCCTAAACCGAGGGCTCGCTTGGGATATGTGACCCGGGCTCAGGAGGCAGCTCTTCAGGATCTCCACGGACTTGCGAATTGCCGGCACCTTTTCAAGAGGAATGCGCAAAAAAAGCCTTCCGGTTCAGCGTCTCGGGCTGAGGGTTTCGATCCGAGGGCTTTCAAGTGGTACCGGTCAGTAGTACGTAGCACAGGGAACCGTAATCTGCGGCTCTGCTTTCCAGATCCGCCTTGTCGTCTGGGCCCTCTACGGATAAACCCCAAATCCAAGTTCAGGGCCTCAAAGGGTCGTCGCAACGGATCAAACGCTAAACCTCCAAGGGTTTGGGGTTCAGGGTTTAGGGTTTCGGGCTTCTGAGCCACCAAAAGAGGCCTGCTGGAAGCTCGACCCGCGACCTGAGACACAAGCCTGAACTCTAATCCCTAAACCCTAAACCCTAAACCTAAAGGCCTGAAAGCCAAGGCCGACCTCTAATTCTACTTAAAGGATCCTGGGACTTAGTAAGTAGGTTCTAATTAGGATAGCCCCACTTAGGGGACTTATAATCCCAGTTATAACCTACTTACTAAGTCCCATGATCCTCTCAGTAGCCTGTATATAACACCTACGTGCATTGTCCAGACCCCGAGAAAAGTCAGGGTTGAGGGTTTTGGGCTTAAGGTTCTGAGTGTGGGGCGGATGGTCCATCTCCTCAACACTTGAACCGTAAAACCAACGAAAACATCCGAAGACCGTGTTTCAAGAAACCCAAACCATTACATTATTATACTCCCCTTAAAAGCATGATAAAAATAATCGTTCTATCATTCTCTCGGATTTTATATGAACCAAAATATTTTTTAAAAACAAAAAGAACCTAAGGCGACTATAGATCAAGACTCCCCCTCTTGAAACACCCTCCAGCTCAGGGCACCAGCGTGCCCGCTGGCGGAGCCTCGCTGAGCCGAGCTGCCTGGCTCTGCTGGGCTTTCAGGGTTTGGGGTTCAGGGTTTGGGGGATAAGGGTTTAGGGGTTTAGGGGTTTAGGGTTTAGGGGTTTAGGGTTTGGGGGTTTGGGGGTTTAGGGAGGGTTTTTTTTCGGGGTTTAGGGTTTAGGGTTAGCACCTCTTTCCGTCAGCAGGCTCACGGAAGGTCTTAAGACCACGTGTCGATTGCACCCAGGGTTTTGGGATTCAGTGTTTGGGGGGTTGGGGGTTTAGGGGTTTAGGGGTTTAGGGAGGGTCTTTTAGGCTTTAGGGTTTAGGGTTAGCACCTTTTCCCGTCAGCAGGCTCACGGAAGGTCTTAAGACCACGTGTCTGCACCCAGGGTTTTGGGGTTTTGGGTTTGGGGGTTGGGGGTTTGGGGGTTTGGGGGTTTGGGGGTTTGGGGGTTTAGGGTTTAGGGTGGGTTGATTTTCGTGGGCTTCGCTTTACAAATCGGATCCCTTGAAACGACCGCTTTAAGGGTTCAAAACGGAAAACAAAGCGGATTTAGAAAAGGGCCTCACTAATTGGAATAGAGCTTCGGGCTTTGTTCTCGCATAGTCTTAACACGGCCTTCAGGAATGATGTTGGTAATTATTCAGACCTCCAGATTACGTCTTTGTTGCATCTTCTGCCGTGAGTGTTTGGAGTCTAGCGTGTACGGTTTCGGGCAAGCGCGGGATGCAGTAGGGTTTAGGGCTGAGAGTTGGGCAAATTGTTTTGTTTAGCAGGGTTGGGGCTGGCTGTGGCTGTTGCGCTAAAGATAGATGACGAAAAAGAACCGCTTCAGTATTGTTAACCCTCCAACCCTACCACACCCTGCAGCCCTGCATTCAGTTGGAGCAGCCCTCCTACACCCCAAAAACCTGCGTCATACTTAAAGGTTCATGGGACTTAGTAACTACGGTTATAAATAAGGTAACTATACAGATATCTAATTGTAACCCAAGTTAATTAAGGTACTTATAGCCTCAATTACGTACCCCAAAAAATCTGCACCATACTTCCTGAACTCTACAGCAACCCTTGCATTGCAAACCCTCAATAGCAAGGCCGGGGCTAGCTCGATGGTTAGTCGCGCGAACACGGCATCGGCCTGGATCGGTCTTTCAGGGCCCACTATAGGGACCTTAATGATTAGAATAGGGCCTGGGTGTACTTATATACGATAATTGTAATAAGGAAACCCCCCAAGCCCTATTCTAATTGATAAGGCCCCTGTTCTGCAGCTTCAGGATTACAGATTTGTGTTTGGTTCTATTGTTGCTGTTTGGCTCGGAGGCTTGGCTTCTTGGAGATAAGGTTTAGGTAAAGCTTGGGATGTTGGTTCAGGGTTCAGGGATGCAGGTGCAGGGTTCAGGGTAGGCCCAGGTTAAGTTTTTTCTTACATGTCTTTCGTCTCAGTTAGTTCTTTCTACACTGTCTAGGACTGTGTCGGGCTGCACTCGGAACTCTAGATCGTCGCAGCTCTCTCTCTCTCTCTCTCTCTCTCTCTATATATATATATATATATACATACTATATGTATATGTATATATATATATATATACATATATACATACATATATATATATATATATATATATATATATATATACGTTCTCTCTTTTACGCTTCACAAGGTCAAACGATGGCCTGGCTTTCTCACGGCTTTGACCAAGTGAGAAATTCTGCCAGGTACAGTACAGCTCTAGACCCTAACCCTTCCCCTAAACGTCCACAAACCCGGACTCCGGACGTTTGGGCATCAAACACAGATATGTCAAATCTAAACCTGAATCCCGAACTTGCACCCCAAACTCCCCTAAAACCCTAAACCCTACCCCTCTGGACCGGTAGCCACAAATCCCGACCTTGTATCTCAACCCCAGGCCCTGGACCATCCCATACCCTCCCAAGCCCTGTGAATTCCAGGGTCCAGGGTTGCGCTTACGCACGTTACAACCAGTACTCAAAAATTTGGGGTTTCCGGAAACTCTAATACAATATTGTAAATTTGTATATAGTACAATATATATATATATATATATAACAGAATATTAGCCTTAAGCCCCGAAGCCCCACGTCAAGCAACTGAACACACAGAGGACCCGGCGCGTGTAGATTTGGCCCCGATGGTGGCCAAAGCCTCCTCCTAGGTGTCGCTTCGCACGGGCGCCAGGGATTGGGGTTTGTACACTTCGGGCTTTTTGCAGCTAGAGCTGGGCCAGAAGCGATGTGGGCAAAGGAACTATCAAGGTACAAAAAGGGTTACTATAAGGGTTACTATGCGGGGTTACTATCAGGTTATTGTAAGGGTTATTATAAGGTAACTCTAAGGGTATTAGGGTACTATAAGGGTTACTATAAGGTTACCTACCAGTTCAGCCAACCAGTCAGAGTCAAAACTGTGGGACACCCACCCAACTCGAAATGAAGAGAGCAAGGCCTCGAAGAAACCCAGCCCATGGACCGAAGTGGCGGCTGGGATGCCACCCTAATACCCTTATAGTAACCTTATAATAACCCTAATAACCTGATAGTAACCCTTATAGTCACCTTATAGTACCCCTTGAAGTAACCCTTATAGTAACCCTTATAGTAACCTAATAGTACCCTGCCTGATTGGGCTGTGCCGGTGCTGGGCGCGCGGCCACATCGAATCGCTTCAAAAGGGACTGCACCGCCTGCAATGCCGAGGCATCCCGCTCAGCCTCCGAATCCAGCGAAAGCTCGTCGGGGTTTGGGGTTTACGTTTAGGATTTAGGGGGCTGAGGTTTGGGGTTTAGGGTTGAGGGGGTCAGGCTTCACGGTTTCTATACCGAGAAGGCTGGCCGTGGACTAAGTCCTACAACTGAAACCAAGCAGCTCGAAAACCGGCTTCGAGCTACAGGAACCCTATGGTTTAGGGCCCTATATTCTAGAACCCTACTATAGATCCTTGTAGAACCCTACTATAGATCCTTATAGGACCCTACTATAGATCCTTATCGAGCCCTTTAAATAAACTACCCTTTCAAGGAATCCCGGATCTGAAGCTTCGGGGCTCGTTTCGCAGACCAGCCCTGGTGATCCCGAACTTCCCAGAGACTCCCAAAACCCCTTGATGATACCTCAACCCTAGGGCTCCTTAAAGGGTTCCTTACAGTAGAAGCCAGAAAGTTGGAATATGATTATCCTAACCCCTTTATGGTAAATTATAGGGGATCCTGCCATTATTCCATATTCCAACTTTCTGGAGTTCCCTTTAACGGGATCTAAAAGAGAATGAAGGGGTATACTTTTAAACATAGGAGGAGCCCCACTATGATCTAAAGTATCTTCCTTAATAAGAGCTTCGGGGCTCTCTGGGTTGATGCTTGGAACCTGAGTCTTCAATTTACCATGTACTTAGGGTTCGCACTTGGGTATTGGTTAGGCCAACGTCCTGTAAGCCCTCCTTAACATGCAGCCTAGTGTCAAAACCTGAGACTTACACAATCGATAAAACCTCTAAGGACACAGAAGACCCTGTAGAATATGAAAATGTATGTGAGTATGTATGTACGTATGTATGTATGTACGTATGATCACGCATGTATGTATGTATGTTGTGTGCGCGCATGCAATTATACTAGACTAATACGTATGTACAAAATATCGTCTTATCTTGCCCAACTGGGCTTTAGCCACGAAACCCTGGAGAGCACGCAGAGTGGAGGTCCAGGGAAAAAAGGATTAGGATTTGGGGGGCTCGGGTTTCGGTTATAGGCTATAGGGTTCAGAGTACAGGGAATTGTGACCTGAACACCTGGCTGCAAGGCCTCTGATGGCTCCAAACTCGGCCGGCGGACGACGGCCTGCGGCTTCTCGGTTTGGGGTTGAGGGCAGGCACTGTGGGCTTAGGGTTTAGGGTTTAGGGTTTAGGGGTTTATGGTTGCCTTCGGGTTCAGAAACCCTGAACCCTAAGCTCCTAAACCCTGAGCCCCAAAGTCTGAACACGACGCCCCAAGCCTAAGATTTCAGTGTAAAGAACTCTTGGGGGCTTCAGGGTGTCGACCCTGAGTTCTTATCCCAGAGCCCTGATAAAGCGGCCTCAATCATCAGCGTAGCGCTTGGGGGGTGCTGGGGTATATGAAAGCATACTTACAACAAGAAGCCCTATTGGAATAATGTTTGCAATTCTCTAGGCTTCCACGCTACGCCCGGAACCCTCCATGAAAGCAGAGGCTAAGCGTTCAAAAGCTCACCTTTGAGCAGCCAGGCTAAGCCCGAGAGGCCTAAAACCCTCCAAACTCAACACCCTGGATCCTACCTACAGTCTCATTTGTAGGTCCCTTGGTTGGTTAACCAAATCTATGGTTAGGATCATAAAAAATGAAACAGGTTAACCAAAAAAAGGAACTAGACTGGAGACTATAGGTAAGTCAAGTCCTAAGACTTCTCTAGCTCGACTTCAGGGACGGACTTTGCTAGCCTCCAGACATTCGGCGATCTGCGCCACCACACCTCAGCGGTCAAGGGCATCTGCAGGTCTTAGGGCTCTTGGATTTGGGGTGTATGGGTTCAGAGGTAAGGGTGAGGGGTTGGGGCTTCTATGACTTGGGGTCTGGCAACTCAGAAGAGTCTGATCTCTATACCCCGAGCTGCACCGCAAAACCCCGCATCCCAAACACACCCAAGGCGGCTGATCAAACCGCGGCGCACCTGCTGCACTGTCGGCATCGGACAGGAACGCCGGCATCCTGCTGTTGTGTCCAGAACTTCGGGGTCTGGGAAACTTTGCGTGTACAGATGGGGTAGTTCAATCCTGAAGGCCTGGAAGCCCTGAAAGGTCGGGACTTGGCTTTGAGCTGACTAGTATTAGTCTTTGTATTAACTTAATGTAATTGTATTCGTATTATATAGCATTAGTTTTGTTGGCCAGGTTGCAGCAAATCTTCGTTTCCTAGCCGGGATCGGACATCAGAGCTTGCACAGCTTGAGGCGCTGATACTCAAAGCCTCAGCTTCTGAATTTTGGCGGTCAGAATTTTTCAGGAAACCCCAAAATAGTATAGGTAGATGATTGGTTGCTACTACGACGACTACGATGCGACTGCGACTGCGACTGCGACTGCGACTACCACTCCCACTCCCACTCCCACGACCGACTACGACTGCGACGACTACCGTTACTTCGACGACAGCGGCGGCGACGATGCTAAAGACGTCTTTCACTACTCGAAGGCGCCCCGAGTCTCCAAAGAGGCGGCCTGCCCTTGGACTCTGAGAGCACGTCGGACACGAGGCAGCGCCTCAGCTTGGAGTCTCCGAGTTCCGGGAAAGCGGTGAGGCTCGGGATTCGGGCTTCTGTGTTTGAGGAATCGGGTTTAGAGACCTGTCAGGGACAAGGGACCTTTGCGGGCTAAAGGTTTTGCGCATTTTAGGCTCCAAAGCCATCCTAGCCCCTTGCAGGGTGAGCTAACGGCTGCAGAGTCAGGTCTCCCCTTGCCGGGGCATCCTCCTCTGACGAGGCGTGGGTTTCACTGAGCTTGAAACATCCGAAAGCGTGCCACGTCTGGCTGTCCGTAGAGAGCCCAAGCTTGCAGCGAACCCTCGGATGTTCTTGCAGGCGGCGCTGGGCCACGGACGTTGCGGCCAAACGCACGCCTTTGTTGTGGTCCTGGGCTTCGCACTGATGACTGGCGACAGTTGTGAGGATATTCACAATGATACTGACTCTAAAGACGATGATAGCAATAGCTATTGCCAGGCGGAGAAGGAGGAGGGGAGGAGGTGGAGGAGGAGGAGGCCCCTCTGCTGCAAATGATGACGGTTAGTTTCTATCGCGAACACTCGGACCATGATGGTGGTGGTGGTGGTGGTGGTGGCGGTGGCGGTGGCGGTGGCGGGGGCGGCGGTAGAGGCGGCGGCGGCGGTAGAGGCGGCGGCGGTGGCGGTACCGCTGGTGGTTGCGGCGGGAACGATGGTGGTGGCGGCGGCGGTAATGATCTTGACTGAAATCATGCCGTACCAGCATCAGCAACATACATCAGCGGCAGCAGGTGGGGGGGTCAGAAGACAGAGTCAGAATAATTCTGATATCAGATGGAAGCTCGTGAATTTTGCCAAACTTAACATGATTTCAACGACCGGTGACGACGACGATGATGATGATGGGGACGAAAATGATGATGCTCATGATGTTGAGGCACGCACTTATTTCTTTTGCCGGACGGACTGAGCATACAGTCGCTCAAGCTGCTGACGGAAGCCTACAACAGCATGGACCAATGTACGGCGTTTACTGTTGTATGGAATGCCTCCCTCAGAAGCAGTGGTGGGAGACTCCCCTCACCCTCACTGTCTGTGGAAGAGGTAGGTATATAGGCAGGCGGCACAGGAATGCTCTGCTGGTGACGGCGGCGGCGGCGGCGGCGGCGGTGGTGGTGGTGGTGCAGCAACTTTGGACCCCGAATGCTAAACTCTAAACACTCCACCACACATGCGACAGAAGCCAGAACCGAGAAACCAGCACCCTTGAACTGTAGACCCTACGCCCTATATACACCTGAACCTGAAACCCGGCACCCCAAAGAGACGCCAAAGCTTGCAGCCCCAGAATAAAAGCTAAACCTCTCCGGGCCCCGCGACTCCGAGGCCACGGAGCACTGCCCGCCGCCAGGTGTCTTCGAAGCGGCCCGGAGCACCTCTTTGGCCGAATACCCGAGCAGACGACAGAACGGCGAGAGACGAGAGACAGAGGCAAAGGCTATCTCTCTCTCTCCCGGGCATGGGGGTCGGTTAGGACCCTCGCTCTCGCTCTCTCGCTCTCTCTCTCTCTCTCTCTCTCTCTCTCGGTCGCGCTCTCTCTCTCTCTCTCTCTGTCTCCCAGGCAAGCGCATCCCTTTCCTTGCTCTCCACTAAACCGTCGTCCCTCGGCCCTGAACTCGGCGAGCACTGACACCGCAGGAAGCAGCATCCCGAGTTTAAAAGGCTTCGGAGAGGGGCCCGGAACCTCTCAGACGACACTTCAGGGCTTACGATTTCGACGATTCTGAAACCAGGTACCTTTTCTCGGGGTCCGTTCCAAAGGTATCCTAGTAACATGCAGGATTTCGATGGTCGCACTTCTCTGAGAAATGAGCCAGGCGTCCGAAGGGTAGTGAAAAGCCTGGCGGGGCATCTGATGATGCGAGCTGCAGCACAAGCAGTAGAAAATGCAATAGTATAACAACAGTAACGACAAGACTAAGATGAATAAGACCAGGAAGAAGCAGCAGCAGCAGAATAGTAAAATAACAACAACAATAACAATTAAAGCACAATGATAAAACTAACCATGGTACTAATAACAATAACAAACATAACAACAGCATCAGTAACAGTAGACAACGGACAGGAATAAAAGTAGTAATAGTAACAATACTACTGACGACAATAATCGGAAGAATAATAGCAATAATAGTACCGCCAACAATAAGATTAGAGCTCACAGTCATCGCAAGCCTGTTTATTGGTGACCAGACTACCGGTAGATACTACATACACTACGGAGCAGGTTCGCCAATTTTGATGGCAGAAAGGTGCCTCTGGGCCTGCACGGAACCCTCGATCCCACCGATGCAGCCCCTACTCCAGACCCCGGAACAGTAACTTGTACTTCTCCCTTGGCTTAGGACTTCGAGGTGCCCAACAAGACCCCGCAACGCTCGCGGGCTCCTGATGGCACCAGGTTTAAGTTCTTCCACTATTTGCTTAAGAACCCCCAAAAAATAAAAAAAATATATAATCCCTATATGATCCCTATAAGGAATACATTTCTTATTTTTTGGGGGTTCTTAAGCAAATAGTAGTCTTCCATGGTCCCAGCTACGACCTGCGAGCCACTTGCCAGCCCCGAAGTCTTAAACGCACCAAAACCTCATAGCCCCTCACCCAAACCCCAACTCCAGACCCGCAGACCCTCAAGGTTAGGACCCCTTCAACCTCTCATAAGACAAGCGCTTTAAGCCCTTGCTGAAACCAAAGCCGCCTTCGCCGAACACGCGAGGTCTTGTCGAGGCCTTCAAAGAATAGGGTTGTGGGGTATGTTATACTATAAACAAACAAAGGAACCTCAAAGTTCTTTCGGGGGCCCTACATCTGAGCCATGGAATTTGGTGGCTTTTCTGGAGCTAGTTCTGGTCTGGGAAACTTGTCATTTACCTTTGAAGTGTTTGAAAGGGGTCCAGACGGGTGTTGAACAGTGGCCCCTTTCGGCTTTCAATGGGAGCCCATTTGCTGAAACTGGTTCAGTAGGGCTCTTGATAACCTGTACCATATAGCAACAAGTCTAGCCAACCCCCCCCCACCCCTAAACCCTAAACCCTAAACCCGAGCCGCAAGCCCGTGGCTCTGGGTGCCCCACTGGCCCGCAGAACCAGCTCCGCGTCCAGCTCCTCAAACTCCTGCGGAGCTCCTCGGCTGTCTCAGGGGTGGTTCATGAAGCCTCGGAGGGCCTTGTAAGCTCTTCATTTATCCTAAGCCCTAGGTCCCAAATCCCAAATACTGAACCCTAAGCCCTCTATCCTAAGCCCCAAAACCAACAAATCCTTAACCTTCAACCCTCGAAATCTACGGCGCTGGGATTGTTCTCGGGTCTCGCTATCCACGAGTCTATCTTGCGAATGTTCTTGAAGGATTCAGGATTCAGGGTGCAGACTCTGCTTGTGCAGAGCAAGGGCGGTAAGCCAAGAAGCTTCAACTAGAAACTGCAATGATCCCAAATTAAGACTCAAAGCACTATACCGTGCACCATGAACCGTCAAGAAGCAATCGTTCACCACCCGAAAACCTCGATCCGAACATGATCCTTTAGCCAGGAAGTCATTGACGTATGAAAGCCCCAAGCCCTGCAAACTACTGCAATCATGCAAATGATCAATGGTTTGGGCTCCCGTATGTTAAACCTGTCATGAGCAACCCTGGGGAACAGTATTGGCAATCATGTAGGCTTCTGTGTTGTAAAGCCGCCAAACCCAAAACCGTGAGTGAACCCTGAAACCTAAACCCCTAAACCCTAATAGTATCTAGGCTCTACATTACGTTAGCTTTGACTCCTCTCAACCCTCTTGGCAATCATTCAGGCTTCTATAGTGTGTTGCCTGAGACTCCCGGCTCATCGAAAGGAAGCCGGCGATGCACACCGCCCGAACGTGAGCGCAAGAGTCCTGCGTGGCCTTGGCAAGCTAGCCAGACTTGAAGGAAACTCCTAAATTCGTACAGCCAAAGTGCAAACTCTAAAGCCTAAACCCGAATCCCTGACGGAACAAGCAAGATTCCGGCAGAGGAAAACCCTGAACCATAGACGTTTTGCAAAAACTTCCAATCTTAACAGTGTCAATACTACTAAAAGTAATAGCAATAGTACTAGCAATAGTGATAGTGATTTGTATTCATGACAGCAATAGCAACAGCAATTAGTCATCGAAATAACACTAGGAATGGTTGTCGTAATGATACCAGTATCAGTAATTGTAACTTTAATAGTGATAGCAAAAGCAATAGTAGCAGAAATGCGGACAATTGAAAAACAACTCAATAGCTCTGCAAACAAAACCTCGCCCTGTGCGAAGAAAGTCCCTGAGCTCTGCACCCGGTCCCGCAGAACCTCAAAGATGACCCAGGGCTCCGCATTCGGGGATTTGAAGAGGTTCTTTCGTGCTGGGATCCCCCATGCTTTCCCTTCAGGGCGTGAGGATAATATAGGGGCCTCAATAAAGACCTATAGTGTTTTGGGGGCTCCTTTATTCTAATTATGGTCTGATGGCCCCAAAACTCTATTCTTGTTATTTAAGCCGCTATATTAATGATGTTCCAACTTTCTGGCATCTGCTCTAAGGCTGAGAGTTTAGAGCATTTCGGGCAGGCTTGAGCATTTCGAAAGGTTATAGTTATGATAGTTATAGGGTTGCCGGTCTCAGCGGGCTGTTGTTTGGAAGGGTTTGACTAGGCTTTGAGAGTGTTGAGGGTTTCGGAAGTAAGGTCAAGGTCCAAGTTTTTGGGATGCTTGCTGCCCAGGGAATAAGATTCAGGGTGGCATGTATGGTGGTCGGGATGGCTACGTTTAGCGTTCACGAGAGTTCACGGTCTTGCTGCAAATGTATCGCGGAGCCCTCCGTATCGAGAGCACTGTCGATTCAGGCCCCTCGAACTTTCCGGCATATCATCTATGATGACCTGCTGGGTGCCAGACAGCACTCGATTGAAGCTATTCTTACTGGTTCAATCTCGAGCCTAGTCAGGGCAAACTTCATGCACTCGGTATGCAAGATCCCTTTTGCTGAACCCTCGCGAACTAAACTATAATATATAGGGGCCTTAATGATTAGAATAGGGTTTTGGGGCCCATTATACTATACTTATAATATAATACGGAAACCCCACAATAGTATAGGTAATTATTTGGGCCCCTATACTAAATCCCCATAATAGCCCCCTTATAGTAGCCTTCATAGACCCCTTTTTAAGAACCCTACTCTAATATAAGAGTATTGGTAATTATTTGGGCCCCTATTGTAACTCCAGAACAGAAGCCCTCGGCCTCAACCACCTGCTCCACTCCGGCGCCCAGGAAGGACAGGCTTTCGGCAGCCTCTCTGCGAGGCTACTTGGGTAGTTGTTAAAAATTGTGGTCCCTTTTGGGTACCCTAAATATTAGGTACCGTATTCTAGGGACCCAAAAAGGGACCCTAATTCTGACAACCACCCGCTTGACCAAGCCAACACACGACGGCCAAAAAGCTTCAGAAAACTTCAACCGCAAAGAACTGCGGGGCGCTTTTTTTCTGCGCTCTGGAGGGAGTCTGGCTTCTGAACATCTGATGCCAGGGTATCGGACTGCCTGGGGATCGGGTCTGCCAGAAGCCCTGAGCCATGAAGCGGTGCCGAGATGATGGTGACGCTGACGCCAGCGCTGAGACTGATGCCGACGATGGCGGTGATGATAAAGGTGAAGAGCGTGATGATGGTGCTGATGATAGTGGTGATGATGGTGGTGATGACGGGGGTGATGAGCATGACGAGGACAAGGATGACACTGATGCCGACAATGACAATGACGGTGACGATGACAATCATGATGCGGAGGCAGATGAGGCCGGGGGAAGCCTGAGGAGGACCTGAAAACAACGTGAAGGCGAGGGCTGATAAACCTGCTAAGCATGGAGCTTTCGGTAATGACTGATGACTAATGGTCACATCAGTATTGAACACGGCAAGACTGATAACGAAGCTGCTGCCAAAAGCAACAACAAGATGGACAGACATAATCAGAGCATACTAAGAAGCAAACATGAAAGACTGACCTCACTTGTATCTTACCTTTGGTTAGTAGGGAATGGAGGAATGGGGTACAAGTACAAACTACTATTACTACCATTCTTCCATTCCCTACTAACCAAAGGTAAGGCATTAGCCCCCACAGCAGCGCAGCCAGGGTCCAGAACCGACTTCTGCTGAGGCGGGTGCCGCAATGCGAACGTCCTGGCAGCGGTCTGCACATCGCGCCTGGGTGTCTTTCCCGGAAGGTGTAGAGCTCAGAGCTTGTAGGGTTGATATGGGAGTTTCCGAAAGTTTAAGGATCCTACTATTAGGGTGCCCCTTTTTCGGAAACCCCCATACAGGCATCAGTAAGGGGTGTAAAGGGCGGCAAGGGAGACGAAGCCAAGGCTAGCACAGGGGGGGAGCTACCATTGATTGGCGTGCGGGGGCGACTGGGAACGTGACACGAGGACACACCGTAGGTCCAAAACCAGGAGACAAAATGGGATCTGCACAATAGGAAAAGGAGTCCCTCATCGCCCGTATGTAAGTACACTTTTGATTTCCCACCCCAGAATCAGAACCATGTTCTACAATATCTATTGAGCCCTCCTGCAGTAAGCCTGTGTTGTTTTGCCGACTACCCAAGCTCCTGGCCAGAAGAATCTTTGCACAGGCATCTCGCAATCTGAGCGGGCGAGTGCAGAGGGAGCAGAGCTTGGTGCTAAAACCTTCCCAGTTCGTGAATATGTTCATTCCTTATTACCACTATTACTGATTCATGACTCAGACCTGCTTTCCACACTAAGAGTACAGATGCGTTGCATGTTGTACAGGGACTTTGGAAAAGTTACGAACTTTGAGGCCTGGCATTCTAGACTCTCACCAACCCTGCAGTGCACCAGGGAACTCCAAGACGCACACCCGACCTAGGCCCCAAAGCCTGAAACGCCTCGAAACTGATACCGATACCCCAAAAGCTCTGAAGCCTTCAACCCCAAAAGCTCTGAAGCCTTCAACCCCCGCGATCGGCTCGCAAACCTCAAGTCCTGAACTGTCAGGTCTAGCACTTCACGCACATAGTCCCGGCAAAACCACGCCTGAAGCCCTAAACCCCATATTCCTGGTAGTTAATAGCCCTCAGCCCTGAACTGCTACTGCTACTAGAAATCCTCAGGATTCGACTTGTGAAGCCTTGAAGACTAGAAGAATAGCAGAAACGATCCCTTTCAGGAGCCGTTTAAAGGAACCCTAGGTTTCACGTCTATTCCTAAACGAAGGGGTTATGGAGGCTCTGGGAACAGCAGAAACATGAAGATCGGGCTCCGGCTCCGTCGGGAGGTCGGCGAAGCCTGCCAGGGTGAGCCGGATGGCAGGGCTCAAGGTGCAGGGCTTGGCGTTTTTAAGGAGCGGCTCGGGATTTAGGCTCTGGGAGTCGATATTTGGGGCAGTTTAGGCTTCGAGTTTGAGGATTCAGAGGGTTTTAGGGCTCTTTTGTCAGGGTTTGGGACCCATAACGGCTTCAGGGTCCATGCTTTTACTTTTCGTTTTGGCTCATGCATATACACTAAGTGTCCGCCGACCCCGAAACCTTAAAAAGCTGAAAAGGTTGGCTCTCATCGGGTGGAGACGCGTTGAGCTTGTTCCGGGCTTGCTACAAACACATCAATGCAACGTTAACCCCGAACACTAAACCCAACCGTTGCATGCGTCCTTCGTTGGACAGTGCGCGCAGGAAGCCATCAAGCACATGGCAAGCCTGGACATCTGGAAATTCGGGCCCAGAGTTTAGGGCCTCGAGGTGTAGGCTTGCGGTTCAGGATCTAGGGTTGGGTGGAGGGCGCAAAGAAGTTCCAGGGCAACTACGTGGCTTGGGGACGGCGTGTGGGGTTTCCGCCGTGGGGCCCCGGAATCCGACCATGATTCCAAACCTCGAAGCCTGAAACAGCCGTAAGCCTGTCTCACATCCTACATTTTAGAAAATCTTAAATACATTTCAAAATTCCCTGAACCCGAATAAGCAACACATGCGAATGAGTACACATGTATATATGCATATGTAACGACATGCATACCATCTTAAGGTGCGATCCTCGAAGCAATCTCTGGCCCCCCCCCCTCCCCCAACCCTGAACGCCATCCCCCAAACAAACCCTAAACCCTAAACCCCAAATCCTAAACCCTAAACCCTCAACCCTAAACCCCAAACCCTCAACCCTAAACCCTGCACCCTAAACCCCATCCCCCAAACCGCAAACCCTACATCGCCAGCTTCCCCGTCCCAGGACCCGGGCTCGCCAGCGTGTGGCGGTGTCGGCGGCGTCGCCGACTTCAGCTCCCCGACCCCGGCACCCTGGAGCTCCGATGCCCGAAAGCCCAAAATGCCCAAAGGGCTTAGGGAGGTAGGGTCTATGCGTTTAGGGTCTAGGTTAAGGTTTAGGGTGAGGGTATTTGGAGGATAATGGGACTTGGCAACTAGGGCAATATGTTAAGGTAACCAGAGTTATAATTGCAGGGACAGTAGCGTCTAGGGGTTTCGGTAGTAGCAGCAGCAGCAGTAGCAGTAGCAGTAGAAGCAGCAGCAGCAGCAGGAGCAGGAGCAGGAGCAGGAGCAGCAGCAGGAGCAGGAGCAGGAGCAGGAGCAGGAGCAGGAGCAGGAGCAGGAGCAGGAGCAGGAGCAGGAGCATCAGCAGTAGCAATCGCAGTCGCAGTCGCAGTCGCAGTCGCAGTCGCAGTCGCAGTCGCAGTCGCAGTCGCAGTCGCAGTCGCAGTGGCAGTGGCAGTCGCAGTCGCAGTCGCAGTCGCAGTCGCAGTCGCAGTCGCAGTCGCAGTCGCAGTCGCAGTCGCAGTCGCAGTCGCAGTCGCAGTCGCAGTCGCGGTCGCGGTAGCAGTAGCAGTAGCAATAGCAGTAGCAGTAGCAGTAGCAGTAGCAGTAGCAGTAGCAGTAGTAGTAGAAGTCGTAGTCGTAGTCGTAGTCGTAGTCGTAGTCGTAGTCGTAGTCGTAGTCGTAGTCGTAGTCGTAGTAGTAGTAGTAGTAGTAGTAGTAGTAGTAGTAGTAGTAGTAGTAGTAGTAGTAGTAGTAGTAGTAGTAGTAGTACTATCCCCCCTCCCTTAACCCCTGGGGGGGTTCAAATTGTAAATTACAATTTGGACCCCCTTGAAGTCACAACGCCTGATATTGTAAAAAACAACGTCTGGGCAGGCACAACGATATTGTAAAATCGTAGCTTCCGTGCGTTCCTCCGCACTATCGCAATAGTGGCGTGACTCTGCTTCTCGCTTGCTTGCGTTTAAGATCAAACTCGGGCCGGGAAGCATAAGGACTAACGGAAGAAGCAAAGCCCCAAAGCCAGAAACCTACAACACTCAAACTCCGATATCTTGAACCCCCATTCCCAAACCCTAACAAAGCCAGAAACACTGAACGCAGAAGCCCGAACCCAGAAACCCCGAACAGAAACTCTCCAGCGCGAAACTTTAAACCCAGAAACCCTGCGGCCTCAAACCCGAAACCAGAAACCGCAGACCCACCCACACACCCCGATTTGAGAAAGCCTAATTCCAGAAACTCTGAACCCGGAAATTTGAAACCCAGAAACCGCAAGCCATGAGAAACTCCGAACCCAGAGATTCCATATATATATATATATATGTATGCCAATCCCTGAAAGAAAACCGGAACTCAGAGCCCCGAAATCTATCAACCCTGAAACCCTAACGCCGCTTAAACCCTGGGACCGAAGTTCATCAGTTTGTTTTTTGTGAGCTTTTGCGGATGAACCTTGGAGGACCGTAGCCCTGAAGCCCTGAACCCTGAACCCCTGCACCCAAAACTCACAAATCCGGAAAGCCAGACACCAGAAACCTTGAACCCTAAAACCCTGAGACACGAAAATCCAGAAAGCCAGACCCCAGAAACCTTGAACCCTAAACCCCTAAACCCCAACCCCCAAAATCCGGAAAGTCAGACATGAGAATCCTTGAACCCTAAACCCCTAAACCCGGAGACCCCAAACTCCGGAAAGCCAGACACCAGAAACCTCGAACCCTGACCCCCCAAACTCCAAACCCAAAAATCCGCAAAGTCAGACACCAGAAACCTTGAACCTTAAACCCCTAAACCCGCAAACCCCAAATCCGGAAAGCCAGACACCAGAAACCTTGGACCCTAGACCCCTAAAGCCAAACCCTGAGACCCCAAAATCCGGAAAGCCAGACACCACAAACCTTGAACCCTAACCCCCCAAACTCCAAACCCAAAAATCCGGAAAGCCAGACACCAGAAACCTTGAACCTTAAACCCCTAAACCCGCAAACCCCAAATCCGGAAAGCCAGACACCAGAAACCTGGAACCCTGAACCCCTAAACCCTGCAAACCCCAAAATCCGGAAAACCAGACACCAGAAACCTTCAACCCTTAACCCCTAAACCCGTTTTGAAGTTGTGTCGGGAGGGACGCGCTTTCTCTGTTACCCAGGGGAGGGGAAATGGTACCAGCCGGCTGCTCATCTTCTTCTGGGGAGACGCGGATGCGCTCTGTTTCTTTTTAACACGCACACGGGTCGGTTCGGACACGTCGTCGTCGAACAGGTGTGTCCTGTGCACATCATGCATACAGAAACTGCTTCCGCAAGACTTGCCGTAGCATGTCGGCCTCATCTGCGACAGCATCGGTGTTCCGGACTGATAGATACCTGCCCCCCACACACACAGACGCAGGGATCCAGTCAATCAGGGTTCGTCTCGTCACGACATGACTAACAACATGGTAAATGCAGCTTGCAATGCTTGACGAGTAAGACACATGAACACAAAACCCCCTTGGTACCATTTCCCCGGGGGCCTGTCAAGCTCCTGGTTTCGGCGAGAGTTGAAAGTTTCCGTACTAGCAGGGATGGTTGGAGAAGCTTTGTATTTATGTTCTGGTATAGGGTTCGGAGTCTAGGGTGTCGGTTTCAGGAAAAACGGTCGGATTGGGGTACTGCTACCCTCCCGCACCGCTCTGTGAACTCCGGAAGGGCCTGGCTCGTGGCTCGGCGGACGAAGCCGGGCTGTCGCAAAGGGCCAAGCTAAGCCGCAGGATCTCCTGGAGCGGTCTTAGTAAGGAGTTGTTTTTCTTTTCCTTGTTTTTTTTCCAAGCCTCTGCTCCGAAACCCCGGTTGCAAGACCACCTGCCCTACCTCAGAGGCGAACGAACTCTCCGTGTACCTAGCTCCGGACACAAGCACACTCCGGGATGGCCGCAACAATCGTGTATGTCCAGAGGCTGTGGGCTAGGTACTGACAGCACTGGCAGGGAGGCATACTCACATGTACACATTACGTTACCCGTTCTATCTCAGGTGTTGCAAGATACCGCAGATCTCAGCGTAGCAGTGAAAACAGCGGGCAGTGTGTGTGTGTGTGTGTGTGTGTGTGTGTGTGTGTGTGTGTGTGTGTGTGTGTGTGTGTGTGTGTGTGTGTGTGTGTGTGTGTGTGTGTGTGTGTGTGTGTGTGTGTGTGTGTGTGTGTGTGTGTGTGTGTGTGTGTGTGTGTGTGTGTGTGTGTGTGTGTGTGTGTGTGTGTGTGTGTGTGTGTGTGTGTGTGTGTGTGTGTGTGTGTGTGTGTGTGTGTGTGTGTGTGTGTGTGTGTGTGTGTGTGGTGTGTGTGGTGTGTGTGTGTGTGTGTGTGTGTGTGTGTGTGTGTGTGTGTGTGTGTGTGTGTGTGTGTGTGTGTGTGTGTGTGTGTGTGTGTGTGTGTGTGTGTGTGTGTGTGTGTGTGTGTGTGTGTGTGTGTGTGTGTGTGTGTGTGTGTGTGTGTGTGTGTGTGTGTGTGTGTGTGTGTGTGTGTGTGTGTGTGTGTGTGTGTGTGTGTGTGTGTGTGTGTGTGTGTGTGTGTGTGTGTGTGTGTGTGTGTGTGTGTGTGTGTGTGTGTGTGTGTGTGTGTGTGTGTGTGTGTGTGTGTGTGTGTGTGTGTGTGTGTGTGTGTGGGTGTGTGTGTGTGTGTGTGTGTGTGTGTGTGTGTGTGTGTGTGTGTGTGTGTGTGTGTGTGTGTGTGTGTGTGGGGTGTGTGTGTGTGTGTGTGTGTGTGTGTGTGTGTGTGTGTGTGTGTGTGTGTGTGTGTGTGTGTGTGTGTGTGTGTGTGTGTGTGTGTGTGTGCATTGCGGCAAGTGCGCCTTGCACAAGCTGGGCATTCAGGTTGTGCCCTCTCCCGACATGATGGCGATCATGGACGCAGACCACACACTGTGCAAGGTGACTTTGTTGAGCAGTCGTTCGGAGGACATGCTCGCAGACTACACAGCAGATGAGTTTGCGACTGGTTTCCAGAAGAGGCCGGCTTTTCAGCTACGCGGCAACAAGCAGAACAGAGGCTCGTCATGCGAGGGCACGTGGACCACCAAGCGGCACTTCACCCGATGTGGTGGTGTTTCTGGGCTGGAAGGACATGCTGTGCAAACGTGCTTGCTTGTTTTGGTTTGGGGCAGAAGCAGGGCGGAACACCAGGCTGCGCTCTGTTTTAGATTCAACTGTGCCGGAGGTGCCGGACGAGCTTTGCGTGCTCGCACAGCGCGTGTCCCCGGCCTTCCAGGGACAGAAGCTGGTTCCGGACCATGCTCTTCGCCGTCCGAACCGTTTGGGTGTCTGTTGCCTTGCCGAGCAGGAAAGGGTTGCGGATCACATGACTGGTCAGCCGCAGCAGGAGCTCGGCAAAGTAAAGCGCGGAGTCCTTGCTCGCAGTCTTCACATCGTGCTGCGGGCCGTTCAGCAGGTTCAATCCCCTTCTGGCTCCCGGACCGAGCTCGGCATAGGCGTCGTCCTGCTTTTTGGGATACCGCAAGGACTCCTTGAAGAAGTACCACAGGCGACCTGCCCGGTAAGGTCCTAGCCCACGAACCTTCCGCACGTCACGCAGGATGTCCTTTTTCGCACGCCACACAGCGCCCCGTTTGAGTCCTGGCTTCGCAGGCTCAGCGGGCAAGGCGTCGACCAGGCGCTGCCAGGCGGCCTTCACACCAAGACCATGCAAGGCCCCCTTCAAGACTGATCCGTCCTGCGTCGAACCGTCCACCAGCACGTCGGGGTTGCCACGAAAGGCCTTTTTCATAGTCCGGAGCTTCTCGTGCAGGTCATCGGACACTGTCGCCGCACCACTCCGCAGGAGGAGGTCCGCCCCCGCTGCGGTCCCCAACGTCGCCAACAGTACCAGGTTCTGAAATGCACCGCTGCGGTTGGCCTCCACCACAGCCGCCGTGGACATGCTCACGGCCGCGGATGCCAAGCACACGAAAGCAGACCCCATGTCCGCCACCACCCCTCCACACGTGCCTGCAGGGCTTGGCCCTTGACCCGAAAGGGGCAGGCATGCGACTG